TTATTTAAAAGAACAACATAATAAAATAATAAAAAATAATTAACAGAACCCAATACATATATATTATATATATACGCACGTGTGTATATGTAATACTGCCTCGTTTGGTTAACCGAAGAATTTAAAAAAAAAAAAAAAGGGAGAAAAATAAAGCAAGTGCGAAGATGTGCGAACAATGGTGTGAAAAAATGTAAAAAATTAATAAATCACATCTCACATCTCTGCTTCCCATTTGCTTATTCGTTTCACTTGTTCATATGTTTTTATCCACCGTCCATTTTATAGTAGTCCCTTTAAAACACTTTTGTGTGGCCTTTTTTTTTGTTTATGCTACCCTCCGCAGTTGTACATATTAGCTGCTCTTTGTTTGTAACGTTTTGTTACGAAGATTATTTAAAGCAGCGCGCGGATAAAGGAAGAAAAAGTAAATTAATATGCCCACATCGTTTTATGTCCTTACGACAGAAGCGGATGAAGAAAAAAAAAAAAAAAAAAAAAATTTCACACCCTTGCGTTTCCTATGTGGACCACTCCTTCGAAACAGTTGATCCACTTGCTCATAGAATTGTGGCGACGGTTTGGGCCACACCTGGTCCGCTTGCAAGTGCCACAACGGATGTGCGCGTTGGAAAAGGCATATGATCGAGGAGGCGCTACATGCTTCGAATTATTGTAGGGTATGAAAACCACGTTCTCTTCAAAGTGCGCGCGTATTTCCTCCACACTTTTCCCACCAACCTGCCCAACCTGCCTAACCCCAAGTCGGGGGGGAGCTACAAACAAAATGGCGTTTTTATCGTTTTGCAAAAATTCCCCCTGCGTGTCCCTACCCACTAAACTGTGTAACCCGTACCTGCATGAAACCTGTGCGCGTTAAGTGGTTATGTCATTCGACTTTACATGAGTAGCGGCATGCAATGCGTTCATTTACACCACTTTGGTTTTTCCCGGTCTCATTTCGTCGTCCCCCGTTGCGACTAATTCTTCCTCACACAAGGCAACTTTACCCTTTTGCATGTTTGCATGAGAAAAGGAAAACTCATCATTGTTGTATTGGTCAAACGAGATAACCTTCGCATTCACATGCTTAGCTCCACATGGGGGGTTATCTCTCCCGATATGCTTTTCCTATCCCAAGATGGCATGACTCATGCATATGTAAAAAAAACAACCTGAGCGTGCAGGTAAAATTGATCAGAGGAGCTCTAAGGGGCGTGTTTTTTTTTTTTTTTTTGTTTTCCGCCGACCCGAACACTCCATTCGTGTGTCCATGCGGTTATTAGTTTCGGGCGTTTTGGTTTGAAGTTTTTTTTTTTTTTTTGTATAGTAAAGCTGTTTTCAATGCACACTTAAAAAGGGGGTGGTGGCACACAGGGAGGCGTTTTTGTGAACGCGCGTTAAGGTCTATATGTATATGAGCATATTCCCATGTGTGGGTGGCCAAATGGGGGGTAGGGGCTTCTACTTATTGGAGGTGGAACCGAAGCCGCCTTCTCCCCTTGACGTCTCATCCAACTCGTCGACCAACTCAAAGGAAATGGGTTCCCCCGTGAAGGAAACAAGCTGCACTAGCTTGTCATTTTTTTTAATCACATATTCGTGTTCACTTGTATTGTCCAAAGCAGCAATGAGTTCTCCTCGGTAGCCTGCATCTATTAAGCCTATAGAATTAGCTAGCCTGAGTGGAGTCTTCGAAATGCTGCTCCGAGGAAATAACAGGTAGCTGGTGTTCACGATCTCTGGACCCTTTTCATGAGCACTGCTCTCCTTCATGCAAGCAGCACCCACACTGATGCTTCCCCCCGCATTCGCGTGACTCTTGTTGTAGTAGTTACACTTGTACTGGAGGGCTATGGCTTTAATCCCCAATTTTACAAAGGTGGTAGACTTTGGCTTCAGAACTTCATCTTTGATTATGAACAGATCCAGGCCACTGTCTCCTGCGTGATGGGTCTTGTGGTTCTTATACATTTCCCGGACTTCGTCATTTAGGCACAAAATTTGGAGATGCATCTTTGTGAACGTGGTGCGGCTGGTGCTGCTGCTGGTGGGTTAATAGGGAAGGAATCAGGCAGTTGCGACGACGCGATAGGTACTGCAAGGTACGGTTGTGTGCAGCCAAGGTCCAAGTCGAACGTAACTCTGTGAAATGGGAAGGGAGCCTAACCGAGAGTGTCAACGAGGATGTTACTGCTTATCCTATGTTGGAGAGTTTGAACGGGCATGAATAAAGGTAGCACAATTTTTTTTTTTTTTTTTTTCAAGATGCAATTTTTACACACAAGTTTTTTTTTTTTCTCTCTCTCCTTTTCCTATGTGTAACCTTAAAAGGGCATCAAATTTATTCGAAGCGAGTTTTATTTTGCCACGGGTTGACGAGATTGCCATTCGATATGGACTCCTCCGTGTAGGCCCTTTAGCAAAAGATGTGCACATGTGTACATTTTTTTTTTTTTTTTCCTGCGTTTATTTTGCATAACTGGAGGGATACCCCCAATAGGGGTGCACCATTCCCCTCCTTCTCGATGTGTGCTCAGTTAGGAGAAGCCAATGCTGCTTTTATTCAACGGGATGTGGGCTTGAAGGAAGCCTCAACACAGGCGCTAGCCTAATTCCACTAACATGCTACTTCGTTATATAGCTACCCCGCACTGATAGGGTATAGTGTATAAGGAGAGGGAACTACCATTCGTTTCACATATCGAACGTGACTCGAAAGCATGTTAGACTACGTGAGCCGATGCGCGTGGGGGATAAGTGATCAACACACAGGGGGGAAATTCCCCGGCGTTTGTAGGTACACACACAAGCAAGTACACACTCTGCCCATTTTTACACAAACGTCGAAATTTACTTCACACAAATGGCAGGAGCTATTGGACGATGATGTGGGCTGGCCAAATAGAAATATAAGAAAAAAAAAAAAAAAAATTACCTAACATTTTGCATGCACACGTGTGTATGACCAGGCAGGTTTATCAATACCAGACAGAGCATTCTTGGAACATTTCCACACTTGATATGGGCTTCTCTCGTGTTGTCATCACTTTGTGATAAAACGCTTGGTTTCATGAGGAAGTATAAGTTGTGCATGGTGACGCGCCAGATACGATACGTGTTTTGGTGGCTTTTCCGATGTTTTTCAAATTGGACAGCCTCATGCTGTCGGAAAGAGGTTAACTCGTTCGTCCACAACGGGATGGAAAGCACCGGGTAAGGTGCGCCACAATACGCTTGATGGCGGCGTTGAAAAGTGCCAAGTGGAAAAACATTTCGTGTCTGTCACTTCGAGCAAGTTCACAAAAAACAGCGCGGTTGTAATTGTTCGCATGTGCGCCAATAAAAACATACACAGGAGTGTCCGAGTTTGTGTGCTCCCTCCGCACGCGTTCTTCCCCTTCACATCACACAAAACAAGAAAAAAAAAAAATGGCGAGCTGTGCGCACGTCACGGAGAGTGGCAGCCAAGCAAGCACAAGTCACCACCAACAAGTGGACACGAAATAAAAAGATAATTAAACGCAACAGGACAAAACAGAAATGGAGCGAATACATGTGACACCTCCAAAATAAATGCGAATAGGATGACAAGCATGCATTATCCCTCCAGGTACATGCACACTCCTACATTAACTAGCGAAAAAAAAAAAAAAAAAAAAAAATCCCAATTCGTATTAACCGTTCAGACAATTTTTTTGGTTAGCTTCCTTCTACAACATATTGGCTGCAATTTTTTTTTTTTTTTTTCCCACTTTCAAACGATTAAACAAAATTTAATTGATTAAAAAAGCAGACACGTTAAAGTGAGACATGTTATCCTGACAGACGTTCAACTGAAACAAGTTAAAAACCAACTAAGAAGAAACATCCCATCTGCGTCTCTCCACTTTACCTCTTCACCAATTAACCCCTTTTAAACTAGCTCATACGTACGCACGTATATTTATACAACATCGCGAAATATTAGTCCCACCCGAGGAAAAAAGAAACCCTCGCAAACTTCCACTTCTCCCCACACACTCGGCTCTTCAAAATGAGGTCTTGCTACTCTCACAAAGGGGTTAGCCCCGGCAAGCATCCCCTCCGCTGCGTGGCCAGCGACAAATTAGGTAACGCAACTGCGTCCGCTACGTTTGCTACGTCTGCTGCGTCTGCTACGTCCGCACAGGGCACAACTGTGCATATATCTTATGCGCCCTCTCCTCCTCTACCACCTTTATTTTATATATATAATTTTTTTTTCGTTGCACAGGAAAGGAAGACATCCAGTCGGCCAATAATGGATATTACGCGGACTGCACCCTTTGCGGCATAAATCACAAGGATCCCCACAAGCAGGCGCTCTACCCCCTGCGCGAAGAACAGCACAGAGTCAACAAAGTAGATTAGAGGACGCTCTTGTTAAAAAGGCATGGGGATATGTACTACAGCATGTGATGGGAAATATATCATCGAGACACACCTTCCAGATTTGTCTTCCATCACCTTCGTGGTGAAATACTCCGCTGATTGAAAATGCTGCCTCATGTAGATCCACCCATTATGCTTCGAGGGCAAATAGGATTAATCATCACAACAGTCCCCAAGCTGTCTCACACATTTCCATTTTTTTCTCGTGCGTGTGTGCTTTGTCCACACGGCTACGTCCACGCAAGCGATATGTGTAATGATAAGTCGTGCATGTCGCTTTAACTATGCTTCTTCGTGTGTTTATATATATTCGTCCCACGGGGCTGTAAGTTGTGTTTTTTTTTTTTTTTTCCTACCTTTTTTGCAAGGTGGACTTTTAATCCATGTTCCTATTTCGAAAGGAGTGTAAATAAATAAAAAAAAAATCCTCGAATTTAAAGAAAACCCTACGGTATGATGTTCCATCCGATGGAGGGGAATAATTTTTTTCCCATTTTGTGTATCTGTGGTGTGAGTCTTCTCTTATCTGCATGTAATGGGCACATTGCCATGTGAGTGCGAGTTGTTTACTCCTTCTGCGCGACGCAAAAGTACATGGCTTGCTGATTTTTTCGCACGCGCTTGGACTCCTCCGAGCTCTTATGTATGAGTTGCACACAAATATCGTCCTGGCACTCCTCTGGGCTAAGTAGGCGAAAGCTGGGGTACTTGCTAAAACAGAACTTGACCCACAAGTACAGTGTGTATACATCGGTGATGAAATAAATTAAGCCACCTGTCTTTAGTAGGTAGTAGTACAGGGAGAGATTTTCCACAGTGATTGTCCTTCTCCTCCAGTTTTGTTTTTTAAAATGTGGATCAGGAAAACAAAAAAATAATTTTTCAATCTGATTTTTTTTTATATAATTGGGTAAAAACTTCATCGCATTTGTCCTAATGACTGAAATGTTTTTGTAATGAGGGGAATAGTTTTTTCTGTACGAGTGAATTTTTTCCCCTACGTAGTTGGTAATTTTGTCCCTTATTTCCATGCCTAGGATAAGCTTATCAGGGAAAATTTTGCTCAGCTCGAATAGCAGTCCTCCATACCCACATCCGATGTCTAGGATGGTTACCTCTGCGTGGGGTGTATATGTGAGAGGACTTTGGTTGTAGTCGATGGGGTACTTATTCGTGTTTAGCTGGAGGACCGGGGAGTGCTCGTCGGTGGTATCCTTCGCTTCTACACTATTGATCGTGTCCCCTTGTGTGTCGCACCCCTCGGAGGGCAAATGGGGGTAGTGAACGCGCCAGTCCACGTAGCTGCAGTTTACCGGGTACCTTATGTAGCTGTCCGAGAGGGGGTTGCAGTGGGCCCTCTGTCTGTAAAACTTTTTACATGGCACTTTGTGCTTCTTCATTGTGGCTGTGTTATATAACTTGAGTCCCTTTTCTCGATCAAGGATATTTTGGGGAGTGTTTTCCCCTAGTGGCCGTGCGTCGAGGTGATGGTCGCCTATGCAACTCCGCTACTACGCTACTCCACTGTTAACATAGGGTTATAATTCCTTCCTTGTGCGAATCGCGAGGGAAGGGTTAACACTTCTTATATATAATGCCAACTGGGTAAATTTTTTTTTGTTAACTCTGCAGGTGGCGAAGCTACTTTGCGAGGCGTCCTTATGCCCTCATTATAATATAATTGACTCATTTTTGCAAATATGCATCACAGCAACATGTCGCACAAACAGGGGGAAAGGCAAATGAGCAGGCAAGAGATTGGTTGGCGGTGAAACGGAATAATGAGTATAAACATTTCGACGCATCAGCCATGGCAAAAAGCATCACCCGTGGTAGAGAAAAAACCTCCCAACAGCAGGTGCAATTTTTTTTTTTTTTTGGTTTTTTTTTTTTGTTCACCCCCAATTGTACAAAGTTGGCCGAACATATATGACCCTGCGCATAGTGCATTCGATGAGAAAGAAAAAAAAAAAAAAAAAAAAAAATTATAAGTGTGAACTCCAATCAGCCTTTCAACATCCAACACATTTGACAAGGTACTGCTAAAAGTTGAAAACCACCACCACCCCTGGGATGGCACACCAACCCATTGGAAAACTGCACGGAGGAAGTAAAGGAAAAAACTCATTCGTGCCTGCCTGAACATTGCGCAGCATCACATCAGAGCAAGAACCAACGAACGAGTGACCCAGGTGCATATGCCAGGTACATATGCTGACTGTAAAGCGAGACCCACCAAGGTGAAATGTAGAACTGAAGAAACGTTATAATTAGTGGGTACACCATTTAAACGAAGGGAAAGCATGGGGGAGAAAAAAAAGAGACACCAACGAGCAACCTATACCCAATGTGAGAGAGGAGCACTCGTTTTTTCTCCCCCATGCAGCAGTATGCCAGGGTGATGCTTTATAAATGCACAGGACTTGTACCACGTGGACGACGTAGCTAGGGTGGCCCTAGATGAAGTACCAAAAAAAAAAGGGGGAGGAGGTGTATACTAAATATATGCTATGCAGCGTTGTGTCCTTCAATTGTGGTTACGTACGCAGACAGGTCAGCCGTTTCGTATAAAAACGTTTAACACACCGTCGTTTGTGAAGGGCAACCTCATTGTGTTCTCATCGCATTTATAACGTAGGTGAAACGTCCCACGGAAGAAACATAATTGACACACTGTGCTTATCACCATGTGGAGGGGCATACTCGTCATTCTTGTTTTTCCGTTCCTTTCCTGCGGTGACCAATTCGCTTGGGGAAGAAGAATTTGCAATGTGCTACAGTTCGGCTCGTATGCCTTGGCCAGCAGCAAGGAAAATAGAAGGCACTTTAAATACGCGGTAGGAAAAGAGAGAAAAAAAAAGAAGTGTAATTCAAGTGAGCGTTTGGTTAACGTGGTGATCGTGAACAGGAGCATTACTCGAACTGTCATCCGTAACCAGAAGAGGGAAGCAACTCACCCATCCTCCACCTCATGAGTCACATCATTCGTGAGTCACATCATTCACTTCGTTCACTTCATGCATGACCTCCCACGCCACATCCCCCCTCAGGTGGTAGGCATAATCGACCCGTTGGACAAAAACAAAGTCCTGTGGAGTAGAAAGAAAAGACACATGAAATTCAACTTACACATATTTAAAAATCTGTATGACAAATTTTTTTGCAACATTAACGATTATGTATATTTGAGTCATGGGGACGATTTCATTTTTCGCATTTTTCATATAAACTTAAAGGTATGTAGCGGAGTAGCCTGTACGTGAGCAGCCTGTACGTGAGAATTGCGCCCCCCCTTTTTATTATCTCCTCACCCACCTTCCTCATTCAACTCATTTGTCTACTCCCTTCCGCAGAACACCATAAAATACATGCTCAAGTACAAAATTGTAAGTGGAACCCTGAAGGAAGACTCCAAAGGAGATGCGAGCATTCTGTGCATGCAGGAAAGGGGTCCGTTGTATCGGTTTTTAAATAACGTAAATTTGTAGCGGCGTGGTGGGAAAAGTTATAACTCATAGCAACTGCATTCTCAAGTGTCATACCAGAATTTGAAATTAAGAACAGCTCGACATGGACATGATTAGGTTAAGAGATACTTCAACTGGACGTCCTTCAGCGCAGCTCTCCATTTTTTTTTTTTTTTTTTTTTT